CGTGAAAGCAAGTGCTATATTCAGATAAGTCATTATGAATGGCCAAATATAACAAGACCATGTTATTAGCTATCGTGAATCAAGTTTATCTAAGCGATCCCAGTTCCAAATACTCAAGCTCGATAAATGTCACTTTCGATATTATGCAAATATTTAGTGGTTTTACATGTCACTGGAAGTTTCTATAAAGAAAAAGTTGTGAGGGGCTTCGTAAATTGGCCTAAGCGGATACCGAAGGTGATGCCATGGAATTTTGAATATTTATTTGTGGAAAAAATCCTCAGCAGAACTCCGACAAGCCCGTGCCATTCTTTGATATGTTATGCGAGACATTGATAGCAGGAAAGCACTATCATAAAATTTCATCACTTAAACGAGAGGTGGTCGGGTGTGAACCCACCTACCAATTGCAGCTTAAATTTTTCAACTTAATGAGGAATGCAACGATTTAATTCTACCACACATCTTTGGGAATAAGGAAATGGACTGGGAATGTGTGAAGAAAATGCGATTGAGACTGAACAATTGTTTCCTTAAGAAACCCACTTGCATTATGATACCGCAATGTTCAGCGCGTAATTTTCCTTGTTTGCACTCGTTCTATGTGCCTGCAATATTGAGTCATGTGAGACTTGACTTTCCTACTCAGATTCCAATACTTGTTGATTAATGTTGGAAGATAAATTTTTTGAGCTGAAACGTTCCGCAAACTTCCAATTCCAGGGATTTGCAGAAAAATTGTAGCCATCGGTTTAATAACCTTTACTTTGACCCCACGTGTACGATTAGAACAGGATTTAAGAAGGAAACCAGCATTTATGGATTTAGTAAACGCATATCTACTCAACTTAAATCCCTCATCTCTCATTAGGATATCCAGAAATAGTAAGTTACTATCATTGTCTAGGTCGAAAGTATAATTAGTAATCCAATTTGTTCCATTTATTAGCAGCAATAATTCATCTAGACTGTCTTTGACGTGTTTCCTTTTACGCATAAATACAGTTACTATTCCAAGAAAATCCTCTTCCGGTTTCCGATGAAGCTAATATACGAATTCTTCACACTCACTTCAACGGATATCAATTATCAGAAGATTCTTCGAGACCCAGCTATTTTTCACACAGTATTAGGCTTGTTTGAATTAGAATCAAAATTATTATCAATTGCCATTGAGATAAAGAATAAGTTAAAGAGAATTAATAAGAGGTTGGAATAAAACTTTTATTTTATTCGAGAACGAACTATTACTAAATCTCTTTATAAATCTAGGATAGAGCAAAATGTTGACGGTTCGACTGTGAAAATTATCATGTATAGAATGGACTCCGGACAAGATGTATTTCCTTATGTCTTCCTGCCAATTTGACAGAGTTGAGAAAACAAGGTTAAACAAATATTATACAATGAAAGGAGACCGCGACCATACAAAAAACCGTACCATCTTGGTCCTCATACCTCCGGTAAAACAAAATGTTGATAAAAATGCTGATTTAGAATAGTTGATGGGATAAAATTTGCTCACAAGAGCGTGGGCTATAAAACTTATAAGTTGATTAAATCCAAGCAAGATCAGAATGATACGATAAAAAATCGTAGCTAAAGGAGTCAATTGCAGACCCTTGATTCAATCTAGACTCATTCTCCATTTTGTATCAAATCTCATGCATAAGGCCATTATGTGAAGGACTACAAAACCATTAATTTTCTAGTATTTTTAAAATTTATATGCCATGGTTGAATGTGAAAACTACGCTCATTGAAAAGACGTAACTTTAAAAGTATGAATCTTAAATTGCCTCAGCCAGTTTTATAGTGAAAATCATAGCATCAAATTTTTACTCACCGACTATTCGAGCAATGGGTTTCACTCCAAGCTTTTGAGCAAAGCTTGCCGAAGTAAGGATCGTGACAGCCGCCCCGTCGTTTAAAGTACTGGCGTTAGCAGCAGTGATAGTACCTCCTTTGTCAGCAGGAAGAAATGCAGGACGCAAACTTGGAAACCTTGATACCTCGACACGACTGTACTCTTCATCTGTGGCTATAGATACTGGCTGATCCGATCTGCGCTTAGATGGAACCTAAGAAAGGGAAAACAGGCTCAATATTACTACAGCTATTATGTTATATTAATCAAGAAATTCCACTGAATTCGATTCCAATTCTTAGATCAGGCACTGGCGAAACCAACTATATGCATCTCAACCAAATTAGCTGAA